CACCCCCTAAATTTGGGGGGGTGCTGCTCTGGAGCGTGCACTGATCCAGGGCTCCCCCCCGTTTTGGGGGTGCTGTTCTCTGCACCCCACTGAGCCCATCCTGGGCTTCGTTATTAATGACTTTAATGAGCTGTGGGGGCTTAATGAGGCTCCGGCCCCACTGCACCCCTTTTTCACCCTCCTTTCCCCTCCTTTTCACCCCAATTTGGCTCGGGGGGGGCAGAGCTGCCATTGTCCCTGCAAAGGGTCAAATTCCCCCACTCCCCCACTCCTTTCTTTCACCTTTTCCGCCTGTTTTGGCCCCGTTTTTCTGTGGCAAGGCAGGACAGGGTCCCTCCAACCCATGGGGGGGCCCTCACCCCTCAGGGACCCCTGCTCTCGGGGGGTCCCTCACATCATTGGGATCCCTCCACCCCAAGGGGTCCCCAGCTCTGTGGGGGTCCCTGACCTTACAGGGGTCCCCAACCCCGGGGGGGTCCCTGTGTCCTCAGGGATCCCTCACCTTCCGGGGGTCCCTCACCTTGAGTGGGGGTCCCTCACCCTGTGATGACCGGGGGGGCCTTCCCGAGGACCGGGGGAGGGGGACACCCTCCAACCCCCCAGGTTTTGGGGGTCACCCCCCCCCCCTCAGCCCCAGGTTTTGGGGGTCTCCCAGGTTTGGGGGGGGCACAGGCCCCCCGCGCTAACCCAGCCTTGCTCCTGCAGCGCCCCGGGCCGAGGCCGCTCCCCCGCTGCGGCGTCGTTAGCGCTGGTTTGGGGGGGGAATTAATTAATGAATTAACGATTAATCACGAGCGGGGACAGTGACGTCGCAGTTCCACCGAGGACCCGGCTGCTGCCAACCCCGAAAAGTCGCTTTTTCCCCCCAAACCGGGGGCAGGTTCGACTGTCGCCCGCGCCGGCTGTTTTTGGAGGATCCGCCTTAATCTCTTCCCTTCTTGCAGCCGCTGCCAAAATTCGCTATTTTGGGGGGGGAGGGGAGCCAAGGGCCGATTTAACCAAACCCGAGCGATTCTGACTCTTTTTATTTTTTTTTTTTTTTCCTTCCTCGCTGATAATTCTGATTTTTAATCATAATCTGATTTTCTCACCCTGACACGGCTCAGCTCAAGCGACCTTGACTCTTCCCTCCGGGGCTGCCAAAGCCGCGTGGCCCCCCCAGACAGGGACCTTTTCCTCCTCCTAGAAACCGGGAAATTGGGCAAAAACCGGGGGAGAGAATTGGGCACGAGCAGGGAGAAAAAGGAGCAGGAACGGGGCAAAGCCAGGGAGAAACAACAAAACCAGGGACAAAAGGGGCCAAACCCTGACCCGGCAAAAAACCGCAGAGAAATGGGCAAAGAGGGGTTGGGGAGGGGGAGGGCTGCGCTCTGCTGGCCTTAATTGGGCACTAATTAGTGCTCCCCCCCTAATTATCCCCTCCTGGGGGTGGGCGGGGGCAGTGGAAGAGGGTGGAGATGGGGGGAGGGTCGTGGTGGTTTGGGGAGGGGGGATCTGGGGGTGTAACCCCCACCCCAAGAGGGGTCCTGACCCCGAGTGACCCCTCCCCATCCCTCCACACCCCCCTCGCCATCGCCAACAGCGAGGGGAGGGAAAACCCCCCACACCCGGGGGCTGGGAGGGTTGGGGAGGGGGTTTTGGGGGCACAGCCCCCCGTGAGGGGTCTGGGGGCTCCTCGGTGACCCCCTCGCCCCCCGGAGCAGGTCCCCCTCCCCGGAGCCCATCTACAACAGCGAGGGGAAGCGCCTGAACACGCGCGAGTTCCGCACGCGCAAGAAGCTGGAGGAGGAGAGGCACAACCTCATCACCGAGATGGTGGCCCTGAACCCCGACTTCAAACCTCCAGCTGATTACAAGTGAGGAGGGGGGCTCCTCCCACCCCGATTTTAGGGCTAATTCGGCCCGGTTTGGGTCTCCCCCAAGGATTTGACCCTCGCTTTTTGTCCCCTCCAGGCCACCGGCGACACGGGTGAGCGACAAGGTGATGATCCCGCAGGATGAGTACCCCGAGATCAACTTTGTGGGGCTCCTCATCGGGCCCAGGTGRGCACCCCAAAATGCTGGGAGGRCRGTGGGATTGGGGGGATCCCCTCAGCTTCACCCCAAGAATGTGGGGAGCTCTTAATCACACCAGGGTGCTGCTGTGTCGTGGGGTGGATGTTCCCCTCCGCTCAGTGGGTGACCCCCTTCACTTCCCAGTGCCTTGATTATCCCCTCCTAATTAATACAGGGGTGTTTAATGACACAGCCATGTCTGTGATGAGCTGGGTGTCCCCACTGCCCCATAGACCTGTGGGGTGTGAGTGTGTGACCCCATTAATTCCCAACCAGAACATGATGAAAAACACAGAGAGTGCAGTGATGCAAGGCGAGGGCTGGTTGAAGGAGAACAGGGATCTGTGGGGTCTGAATTTCCCCCAATAACCCCACTGTATCCCCAGGGGGAACACGCTGAAGAACATCGAGAAGGAATGCAATGCCAAGATCATGATCAGGGGCAAGGGCTCCGTCAAGGAGGGCAAGGTGGGCCGCAAGGATGGGCAAATGCTGCCGGGTGAGGACGAGCCCCTGCATGCCCTGGTCACCGCCAACACCATGGAGAATGTCAAGAAGGCCGTGGAGCAGGTTTGGGGGTGTCCCTGGGGGGCTGAGGGGGTGTCCCTGGTGGTGCAGACCCCCGTCTCACCCCCCCTGTGCCCCCCAGATCAGGAACATCCTGAAGCAGGGCATCGAGACCCCCGAGGACCAGAACGATCTGCGCAAGATGCAGCTGCGAGAGCTGGCACGGCTCAATGGGACCCTGCGGGAGGATGACAACCGGTCAGAGGGGTCCTCTTCCCCAAATTAATTTAATAATCCTCCTAATGAGCTGTTAATTAACCCTTCCTGTCCCACTCCTCAGGATCCTGAGGCCGTGGCAGAGCACCGAGACCCGCAGCATCACCAACACCACGGTGTGCACCAAGTGCGGCGGGGCCGGGCACATCGCCTCCGACTGCAAGTTTGCCAGGTGATCCCCTAAAAAAAAAATCCCCAGAACCTCGTGGGATTCCCCAGGATTCACCCCAAAAACCCACCAGGCCTTCCTGAGGTTCTCCCAAACTCCTTAAGATCCTCTGCCTGAGATCCCCCCTGAATTCTTTCTGAATGGTTCTTAAATCTCTGCGACCTTCTCAACTCTACCCAAATCTCAAGAATCCCCAGATTCACCAAAATCTCCCCAAACCCTTTATGGACCCTCTGCAAAACTTGTAAAGATCCACCCCAAAACATCCTGGGACTCTACCCAGTCTTGAAACCCCTATGAGATCCTCCCATCTTGCCTGAAATTTCCCCAAACCCTCTTAAATCCCCTCGAGCCCCTCTGAAATCCCCCACAGCCCACTCCGTGCTCTTCCTGTGGATTGCTCAGGGACCCCCAGAGGTGGGATAGGGGGATTTGGGGTGCAGCCCCCTCCCCCCAGCCTCACCATCCCACCATTACCAGGCCCGGGGACCCGCAGTCGGCGCAGGACAAAGCCCGGATGGACAAGGAGTATCTGTCCCTTATGGCCGAGYTGGGCGAGGCCCCGGTGTCCGTGAGCTCCAACGCCGCCCACAACAACAGCCCCTTGTCCAGCAGCCACCGTGCCGCCAGCCAGGCGGGGGGACAGCCCCCACCGGTGAGTGATCACCCTAAAAAACCCCTGGGAACCCCTGAAACCCCTCCCCAAATCCAGCCCCTTGTCCAGCAGCCACCGTGCCGCCAGCCAGGCAGGGGGACAGCCCCCACCAGTGAGTGATCCCCCCTAAAAAAGATCACCAGTGAGTGATCCCCCTGGGAACCCCATAACCCACCACTGAACGCCCCCCTCCCCAAAAAAATCACTCCTTGTGCAGCCACTGCGCCACCAGCCAGGTGGGGGGACAGCCCCCCATGAGTGACCCCCACAAAAACCCTCTGGGAACCCTGAACTCCCTCCCCAAAAACCCCATGGGAACCTCTGAACCCCCACCCCAAAAACCCCTGGGGATCCCCTGAACCCCCACCCCAAAAACCCCTGGGGATCCCTGAACCCCCTCCCCAAATCCAGCCCCTTGTCCAGCAGCCACCGTGCTGCCAGCCAGGCGGGGGGACAGCCCCCACCGGTGAGTGATCCCCCCTAAAAAAACCCCTGGGAACCTCTGAACCCCCACCCCAAAAACCCCTGGGGATCCCCTGAACCCCCTCCCCAAAAAACCCCTGGAAATCCCTGAACCCCCTCCCCAAATCCAGCCCCTTGTCCAGCAGCCACCGGGCCACCAGCCAGGCGGGGGGACAGCCCCCACCGGTGAGTGACCCTCCCTAAAAATACCCCTGGGAACCCCATAACCCACCCTTGAAACCCCCCTCCCCAAAAAAATCACTCCTTGTGCATCCACCGCGCCACCAGCCAGGTGGGGGGACAGCCCCACCCCCATGAGTGACCCCCACAGAAACGCTCTGGGAACCCTGAACTCCCTCTCCAAAAACCCCATGGGAACCCCTGAACCCCCTCCCCAAAAAAACCCTGGGACCCCCTGAACCTCCTCCCCAAAAACTCCATGGGAACCCCTGAACCCACCCCAAAAAAACCCCTGAGAAGCCCTGAACCTCCTCCTCAAAAACCCCATGGGAAGCCCTGAACCCCCTCCCCAAATCCTGCCCCTTGTCCAGCAGCCACCGTGCTGGGTGGGGGGACAGACCTTCCAAAAAATGATCTGGGAACCCCCAAAATCTCCTCATCCACCCCTGAACCCCCACGCCAGACCTGGCTGACCCTACTAATCCACCCCAAAAACCAGTCAGGTGTGGGGACAGTGACCTGTTTTGTAAGTGACCCCCACCCCCAAACCCCACTGACCCCCCCCAGAATGAGCTCCATTCCCTCAAAACCCCACAAAGACCCTAAACTCCATGATGCCCCACAGCTCACCCCAAACTCCTGTGACCCCACAAACCTCTATAAACCCCCCCAAACCTCACTTAACCCCAATTTTTGCCCCCCCAGAGCCGCCCCCCCTGGATGAGCTCGGCGCCCTCGGAGAACCGCCCCTACCACGGGCTGCACGGGGGGCCGGGGGGGCCGGGGGGACCCCACAACTTCCCCCACCCCATGGCTGGCATGGGTGGGGGACACGGGGGKCACCCCCTGCAGCACACCCCAAATGGGCCCCCCCCGTGGATGCAGCCCCATCACCCCCCTATGGGGGGGGGGCCGCACCCCCCGGGGCACCCCGGCCCCCACCACATGGGTACGGACAATCCTGGCTGGGGGGGAGGGGATTTGGGGTCAAAAATTTGGGGGGGAAAGGTTTTTATGGGGTGAAAAAGGGGGATTGGGCACTCCCACCTTCCCTTTAAGTGGAGGGATGGGAAGGATTGAGAATTTGGGGTGAAAAATAAAGGGAAAGGTTTTTATGGGGTGAAAAT